ACGGCAGTATATATATTCTTATCCGTCTATCACTCATTAAAGTTGGCCTGCTGCGACGTCGTCAATGATGCAAGATACACGCCATGGATTGTACCCGGATTAGGCGAACCATGAACAGCTGGTATACCCGTCTCTTGGCGAGCAGTCACCGCGCCGCGCCGACGCCCCATGTCATTATATCAAACCCTTTCGGGGGTCTACCGTAGACCCCGAAATTCGCGGTAGATTGGTGTACGAGCTCCACCTTTCACTCTGGAGATCTGCTGGAGCACCCACAAATTTCCCTCCATTTGTTTTTGTCTTCACCCCCCGACAATTTCGCCTGCCGCCGTTCACCCAGTGTCTGCTTTTGTCGGATGAGGTATAACTTCGTGTTGCCCGCGATTTTTTCTGACATCGGTGAGAATGCTATCGTAACCGGATCAGGTTTATCGGATCAAACCGTCGGGCCGGCCGCTTCGTTTGCCCACCGCGTCTATCGCGTTTAAAATTCCACAGCTTCGGAGACCCCGTCTTCGCCGCTACACCGTCGTCGGGTAGACCGTTGAAGTTGGAGAAACCCCGACAGCTGCACCAATTGTCTTCAGCTCCGATTTTTTCGGCGGGGTAACTGCTGCCGATGGTCCGGTTTTGTCGGTGCTGAACAGTGTCGCAATCTTATAAATTTTTCTGTACGCCCAGCTATCGAACTGGCGCAATACCCGCGCTTTTTAGCCAGCACAGGGCTAAACACAGGGCCCCACCTTTGGATCCAGTGGCTCTTTGGACTTACTACTTGCCTTCGAGGCCTTCTCGGCGTGAGGTATGTGAAACGTTCGGAAACCTCGGCCGGTAGTGGTACCCATCCGGCTACCGCCGCTTAGCCGCAAACTTCTAGGCATCAGCTTGAGCGTTTCCCCGTGGGTCGTAATTCTCGCCTCCTGAAGCTCGAAACCCGTTTCTCTCGCTAAACCCAAACTCGACGCAACTCCGTGTATTGTAGCCGGTAGAACCCCCGAAAATCGCGGGTCTAAACACTGCGCCGAAACGTTGTCCCGCTGGTGTACTGCCCTGTCTGCGACGCAACTACCCTTGATCAGGGGGTGCTGTGCCGCCTGAAGTACAGTGTCGGCTGCTGCTTGTTGCTCCGAAAATTTCGCCGATCGTGGTGCAGGCGCAGCAGTGACCCAAGCGAAACAGTCTAGTCGTAGGCGGTTTATTCCGATCTTTTCGGTGGTTTGAAAAACGACTTCCGTCCCACACTGTGCCGCTCCTGCCGAAAACGCCAACGACGACACCGTCCTGCAGTCGCACCGGCCACACCCGGGCGGGACGACGGTAGAACCGCGCTTTCTTCGGGCGGTCGTCACGCCGTCACTCCTCGCCGTTGCATTTTCCGACGCAAATCACCATGCGCCTGGCCTGCCCGGCCAGCTGTCGTTTCTGCCGTGAAGTCACCCGAAATCTTCGCGCACAGTGACGACGTTCACCACGTGCCGAAGACCTCCGAGAATTTCGTGCGCAGCATGACGAAAACGCCCGACGCCACGTGCCGCACGCATTAATTCCGAGATTGTCGTGCGCAGTTGGCAACCCACGTGCCGACGCCCACTCGCACAACAGTGACGACCTTGCTGCTTCCGAGAATCTCGCACATGCAATGACGCCACATTGCCTGACGCCAACTGCCGCATGAAAACAGTGACGAGATTAACGGAACCGACGAAAATAACAAAAAGCATTTAATGTGCGACAGCCATAGCTGCCCACCACCCGGGGGGAGGGAGGCCACGATCAATCCTGACCGTCGAGGGTGAGGATCCGTCGGTGCCGCAGGAGTGCCAGAGAAATTCATGGCCGCTAGGAGCAACTACCCGTTCTCCTGGCCGGCTACTGCGCTACTCCTGTCACCACGGCATCCTTCCCTGTCCCCCCCCCCCGAGGGGTAATACACTCTAAAAAACGGGGAACCTAGGAACTTAGGCTCTGATACCAAGTGTTATGAGTTGTACTAAGAAGAGTGCGCGGAAGATTTTATAAAAAGGATGATGAATACAGAATGACGAGAATGATAATGAGGCGAGCATTTATAGGGTCGAAAACGTGCTAGGCGAGAACCTGTGATGTGCGTGGCTCGGGAATGTCGCAATTGGTGCGGGGCGACTCGGGGCTGGTTCGGTACGAAAGTGTAGGCCGAGCCCAAACTGACGCGAACAGTTCGGGCTGTCCTCGCTAGGAGCAGCCTCTACAGTAATGAATTCATATTCATTACAGGTACAGACCATCTGTATTCTTTGGGATGTCATCAGCCAATCACCACCCTCACGTACCCCCGAGACATCCACCCATAGTCCCACATGTCACCATTGGTCGTCGTGTGGGATGTAGATGGTTGTTGAGTACGTAGTAGTTCAGGAAGAATGGTCTGGTTCGGTCGGTCCATATTGCAAAGGGTTTTACATGGGTAAGAGGCTTTTCCAAGTCGCGCCACAAGAAAAAGTGCATGTTGAACAGATGACGATGGTGAGGGATGTTTGTGTTGCAGGCAAGGATGGATGGCAAAAGCACCCTGAACATGTTGGTGCGGTGGCGCGTCATTCGGTGAGCACCAGAACCCCACTATGCAAGCCAACCAGACCCTATGAATCCTTGTCTAACGCAAAGAAACTCTTTTCACCGAACTCAAACGAACTTTCAGGCCACGCCTTTGGGAACTTTTTTCCCAGCTCACAGATGCACACTGCGGTGCACCAGTCACAACAGGCCAACGCACCCATGGCATTTGCCCCAGCTATGGCACCCAAAACAGGGTCAATTCTCACCTGCAAGCTCTCTTACTGATAAGCTTCTAACAGGCTCCGTACAGTCTCAGCGCTAGTAGGGTTCGCAAAAAGCGACCGAAAAAAGGCATTAGACGTCAAAGGCATTAGACGTCCATTGCGGCTGCATCATTGACCTTGTAGGACCTTAAATTTATTGTACCATAATGACCTTATCTTAGGTCGTTTATCTTATTCAATAGCAGGACAGACAAGCAGCTCAACGACGTCGTCGCCTTTTACGTGCATAGAGAAGTGAACAATTTCCTCGTGACATTTCAGTCGCACCGAAACCTTCGTGTTGATAACTCGCCTAAACCGACGAAGCCGGTGTCGAGCGCGTTCGTTTTCGTAGGTGCATGATACCTCGTTTACGCCATTGTCAATCATCTGGTTATTCCGATGTCCTTCGGCGTATCTATGACTTTATCCTTCGGCGTTCACTTTCGGCTCGCCTTTTCCTTTTGCATCACTGCGGGGGCAATCGTTTTCTGACACCAAGGATTTTACTTTTAAGGGAGAATGAGAAGCACACCAGTCACACATTGAAGGAAAACCCTGTTAGTTTGAAAATTTCATCAACCCCGAGCCTTTGTTGAATTCGATAAGATAAAGCAGATTCATAATGAGGCGAGAGCCTGGTGACGGCAAGTCCAAGGAGAAGTCGAAACCCAAGGAGAAATCATCCCTCAAGTCCCAATTGTCCGGCAATTTCCTCCGCAGCATCACGGACCTCGTCATCCGGCACAAGGGGGATGAAGCCGGCCAGGCCTCCGCTTCAGGCTCGGCAGCAGGTTCGGAAGAGCAGGTCGGTGGTGAGAGCTTGGGGGGAGAAGTAAAAGAGCAGCAGCGGGAGCAACCTCAGCAGGAGCAGCAGCAGGAGCAGCAGCAGGAGCAGCAGCAGCAGGAGCAGCCGCAGGAGCAGCCGCAGGAGCCGAGGGAGATGAGCGAGGAGGAGAAGAAGCGCGAGAGGCGGAAGCAGGCGGTTGAACGGATTATGAACAGACTAAGCAGCGAACCACCTCCTGCACAGGGCATTCCAGGTCCCTTAGCGAACCCCGCCGCTCTAGGCAGGAGAATGTCTTTGCCTTCGAAACCAGCGGGTAGGGTACGGAATGGGGCCGCGGCTGCTGGTTCGGCTGCTGGTTCTGCTGCTGGTAGGGGACGGAGGCAGCCCCCCCCACCTGCTAGGCGAGCTCCAAGCGAGCGTGGGAAGAGGGGAGGTGTTGAGAGTGGTGCAGATGGCGGGAATGGTGTTGGTGGTGGTGGGGATGGTACCAGTGGCAGCGGCAAGTGTGCTGAGAGTGTGGAAGGTCCTTCTGCTGGTTCGGATGCAGCTGCTGCTATTGGTGGTTCTGAGAATGGGAACGGTGTTGCTGATGGTGCTGCGGATGGTGGTGCGGGAGGAAATACAATGTTCAGCAGCAACGCAGCTCAACAGCCACAGCAGCAACAACAGGCTCAGGAGCCACAGCCACAGCCACAGCCACAGCCGCCGCAGCAGCAGCAGCTGCAGGAGGTCCAGGAGCAACAGCAGGTTCAGGCCCAGCAACAAGAGACATCTTCTTCCTCCTCCGCTGCCGCTCCAGCCGCACACGCGCGCACAGAGCCCCCGTCCCCGTCCCCCGCGTCCTCCGCCTTCACCCCCGTCTTTGCCCGCTGCCCTGCCAAGATCTGGAGCAACCCGGACGAGGAGGACAGTGCTGGGGAGCAGAGCGACAGCGGAGGGGAGTGGAAGGCGAGGGGAGCGCCAGAGAGACCACAGGCGGAGGAGGCGGAGGCGGAGGACGCAGTGGGAATGGGGAGGAGGGAATAAAGAATACGGTTGATACGTTGACGGATGGTGAAGGGGGAGCGAGAGAGGAGGAGGAGGTGGAGGAGGAGGAGGAGGACGAGCAGCCGACAGGGTTCCCGAAGCTGCTTCCGGGGAAGGCGGACGTGCTTGTGTTGACAGACGAAGGGGATGCGCTGCATGGGGAGATTGACACCGGCGAGCACCAAGGCACTAACCCGCTGGATATGTCCAAGTTCAAGCGGCTTCTGTCGCAGGTGTATGGGCTTGATGAGGCGGATTTCCGGCCCAAGAACTGGGGAAAGGTGTTAGAGGACGAGGAGGAGGAGGATGATGATGATGATGATTTGAAGAGGAGGGACCCGAGGTTGGAGGATCCGCAGTTGCAGGAGATTCTGACTCAGGAGCTGATGAAGTTTCTGCGGAGGAATATGCGCGGAGGGAAGGAGGAGGAAGAGGAGGAGGGAGAGGAGGAGGGGGAAGAGGAGGAGGGTTTGAGTTCAAGAGGGGGTGATAGTGAGAGCAGCGGGTTTCATAAGGGACGGCGGCGAGGGAGGGACAGTAGTGATAGTGAGGATGATGAAGAAGAGGATGAGGATGATGATGATGATGAGACAGTTGACAATGGCTGGGGGGATGATGCATTGGGACTTGCTTCACCAGCGAGGGATGATGATGATGATGATGATGACGATGATGATGGGTCTGATGATGATCGATCGGATCGCCGACACTTGAGAAGGAGACATGGGTCTGATAGCGAGCAGGAGGAGGAGGAGGAGGAGGAAGAGGAGGAGGAGGAGGAGGAGGAGGGAGGGTCCAGATGAGGCGAGACAGGGTTTCCCGCAGGGAGTTCAGTGGGGAGAGGCGCAGAGAGGGGAGAGGGGGAGAGCCGAGGAGGAGAGAGCGGAGGAGGAGTGTTTCTGATAGTAGGAGCAGGAGCCGCGGCTCATCAGAGTCTGACCACGGGAGTGGAAGGAGAGGGAGGAGAGTGGGAAAACGAAGAGACAGAGCTGACGACCGTTGGGAAGAGAGGGACGATGATGGGGAGGATGAGGAAGAGGATGAGGAGGAGGACGAGGAGGAGGAAGAGTTGAGGGGAAACCGGAGCAGGCGTGGGAGGAAGGGGGATGGAATTGGGGATGGGTCGGATGGGGATGAGAGGGGCAGGTGGGGCAGGAGGAGACGGGGAGCGGACGCTGGTGATGAGAGTGAGAGGGAGGATTATAGCGAGGACCAGAGGGATGCTTATAGCGAGGACGGAAGGGAGGAGCTTAGTGAGGATGGGAGGCGGGAAAGTGATTACGAGGGAAGGAGAAGGGATAGTGCGAGGAGGCGGGGAGGGTTGGAGGATGTTGAGGAAAGAGACGAGGGGCCTGGCAAGCATAGGAGGAGGCACAGGAGTGGCAGGAGTGGGAACAGGAGTGGCAGCGATCATGATGTGAGGGATTACAGTGACCTGGACAGTGATGGGCATACGAGTAGCGACCACGAGGATAGAGACCATGAGCATAGCGATCATGGGCAAAGGCACAGTAGAGCGAGGGAGAGGGACAAGGGTAGGAATCGGGAGGAGGAAAAGGTTGGAGATAGAGCACGGGGAAAGGGCGGGGATAAGGGTAAGAGCGCAGGTGTGCCCAGAAATAGGGGCAGAAGGGACGAAGACGAGAGGAAGGATTTGGAGGAGCGGAGAGGGAGGAAAGGGAGGAGGAGGGTTGAAAAGGAGGAAGAAGACAGCACTGATGGTAGCGATGGCAGCAGGGGCAGCGATGGGAGCAATGGCAGCGGTAGGAGCCATGGGTCTCGCAGGAGTGATGATCGGTCAGACAGGAGACAGAGCAGGGAGAGGGCTGGAAGAGGCGGGAGCAAGGGCAGAATGGAAAGACAGCACGGTCGAGATGGTGAGGCGAATTTGCAGCGCAAGGGACGGGGCGAGGAGGCCAAGAGAGAGGGGGCAAAGAAGGGGGAGGAAAAGAAGAGGAGAGGCAAGAGTGAGGAGGGTAAGATGGAGGAGGGTAAGAGAGAGGATGCGAAGGAGGGAAGAAGCAGGGTGAGGGTGGAGGAGTTGGAGGGTGATGCAGACAAGGAGAAGGAGCTCAGGAAAAGTCATGAGAAGGGTGATGCCAAGGGAGCGCGCTCCAGGAAATCTAAACAAGATAGCGGATCTAAGGAGGATTCCAAGCCGAAACAGGAGATCAAATCTAAACCGGACAGCAAGTCGAAGCAGGAGAACAAGTTCCTGTCAACACTGGACATTAAGGAAGAAATTCGGAAGCTTTCCGGCGACGATGCTCTGCGCATTCTGCTCAGCGCCCGCAACTCGTTCAAGCGCGAGCAGCAGCAACAGCAGCAGCAGCTGAGGCAGAAACAGGCAGGCGGGGGCGGTGAGGGAGCTGCTGCTGCTGGTGATGGTGGTGGGGATGTAGGAGTAGGGATGGAAGGGGAGAGGCTGCTAGAAGCGAAGCTGCTGCGCTGCCTGACTAAAGTGCATCAGCAGGTGGCTGCTGGCGTCCCTGAGACGATTGAGGAGGGGGACGAGGAGGAGGAGAGTGAGGAGGATGGAGAGGTAAGTAGGCAGAAGGACGGAGCGAGAAACTTGGAGCCTGGCCTTGTAGATGAAGGGGAAGAAGAGGAGGAGGTTAGTGGGGAGGATGGTGGTGGGGAGGAGGGTGATGGGGGAAGAGAGCACAAAGAGCTGGGGGCTGAGGAAATGGGTGAGGAAGAAGAGGGAGGCGAGGAAGTGGAGGAAGATGGAGAGGAGGACGAGGAGGAAATGCCCGATGATGGGGATCTGAAAGAGGAGGAATCTGAGGGTGGGGCACATGAAAAGGATGAAATATCCTGCATGGCTTCTGATGTGGCGAGATATATGGAGAGAAGTAATCACTCGGGAAGCAAAGCTAGTCAACCGAGTCAACCTGCTGCTAGTGGTGGTGGTGGTGTTGCTGCCGCTGATGCTGGTTTCAGCAGTGCTGCTACGCAAAGTGTTGGTGAAGGAACTGTGTCAGGAATGGGAGCGGAAGGGGAGGGGGAAGAGGACCTGTATGACGTGGGGGGAGAGGAAGAAGGGCAGGATGAGGGAATAGAGGCGCACGAGGGGGAAGAGGTGGAATTTTCCTCAGCTGAGAGCGAGAGTGAGAGTGAGGAAGAAGAGGAGGTGCAAGCAGAGGGTGGTGGTGGTGGTGCCGGCTGGAGGGACGCGAGTATTGGTGATGATGAGGATGACGATGGGGCATATGGGGACGAGGAAGGCGAGGACGGGGAGCCGAGGCCGCACAGAGATCGGAGAGGCAGAGCATATACCCATAGCCATAGCAGATCGCAGATTGCAGGTGCCGCAGCCGCTGCCGGTGCTGCCAGTGCTACTGCTGCTGCAGTGGATTCTGCTGCTGCTGTGTCGCCTCACCGTCATCCTCCTGCCAGGGCGAGGCGGCATAAGAGCAAGAAGGGAAGCAGCAGAACCAGCATGCCTTTGCCTCCGCCGACCATGCCCGTGCCTTCCTCCCCCATGCCTCCTACCATGCCCCAAGCACCATTTGCAGCAGCAGCAGCAGCAGCAGCAGCAGCAGGGGCAGGAGGAGTAGGGTATGTGCAGGGAAGCATGCTGTCGCCTGCAAACGCAGGGGTGCAGTGGGGTTCTGAGGCGTCGCATAGCGGCACTCCCACTATCTCCAGGCATGCACCAACTCCCACGTGGGGTAGTAGTGCTTCCCCCGCTGCTGCAGCAGGCATGGGTGGTGGTGGCATGGGTGGTGGAAGCATGGATGGCGGTGGTGGCATGGGCGGTGGGAACCAGCAGATTTTGCGGCAGAGATCTTCAAGCCATGCTGATATGCTGAGGGGAGGGCATGCCACTATGCCTTCCCCTGCATCAAGAGTGGGAACAGCTGCAGCACCTCCTTTTTGTCATTCACCGCTAGGAGCAGCAGGCGTGGCAGCAGCAGCAGGCATGGCAGGACCAGCAGGTGTGTCTGCATCAGGAGGAGCAGCAGCAGCAGGGGGCACAGGGTTTGGGCTTCAAGCGTCTACCTTGGGATCTCCACTCCCCATGCCCGCCTCTCACTCCAGGCTGCAGAAAACCTCCTCAGACGCGCCCAGGAGGCTGCAGGAGCTGCTGCAGTTCAAAATGGTGCAGAGCGGTGCAGCAGGCGGGGGCAGGGGTGCTGGGTCTGGTGTTGCAGCCAGTATGGTGCAGGGAAGTGTGGACTTCACTCGGGGAACGATGGTGGGAGGGGGTGCGGCGAGTTTTGAGACATCTTTGAACTTGGTGCAAGGTAGTGTGGACTCTTCCCGAGGGATGATGGGCGCTGGGGGTGTGGCGGGAGGGGTTGTGACAGGAGGTGTGGGGGCCGGGGGTGTGGCTGGGGTGGTAAGTGGTGGGGGAAGAGGAGGGGCGTTGGGGAGAGGAGGTGGAGTAGGTGGGTCTCCCAAAAGGGGGATTGAGGTGAGGGGGCGAGGTGGAGAGATGGGTGATGGGGACAGCAGACACATGGTGCCTACAGGGACGGATGCTTCTGCTTGTTACCAAGATGATGGTGGGTATGGCGCTGGGTATGATGGTGGTTACGATAGAGCTGGTTACGGTGACGGTTACGTGGATGCGTATCATGGTGGTTACGAAGATGCTGGTTACAATGAAGGTGGTTACAACGACGCCGGATACAGTGCTGGTCATTACGATGATGGTGGTTACCAAGATGATGGTTACGAAGACGGTTACAATGGTGGTGGTATGGAGGGTGAAGAAGCCATGGGGATTCAGAGATCCTTTACTGCTGATGGGCGAAATGCCAAGCTGCACTCACAGCTGCACGCACATCCCGAGGAGTCTACGCCCGTGACAGTGCAGCGTGCATATGCAGTAGACGGCCGCTCGTCGAGACTTGTAGCGGAGCAGACTGTAATGAGGAAATCGGTCTTGGGTCCAAGGGAGGGTCTATCGAGTGGCGTGGGTACATTGGGTGCAGTGGGTGCAATGGGTATAGTGGATGAAGGTTCTAGAAGCAAGGGGAAAAAAGAAGAAAAAGCGCAGTGCGGGAAAATCAGTAGAAAAAATGGGTCCGAACGAGAATGAGATTCGGGTTTGGGAGGAGGAGAGGATGAAGGGGGGAGCAATGGGGGGGAGCGGAGGAGGGGGTATGGGAGTGGGAGAAGGGGGAGGGGGTATGGCAGTGGATGAGGATATGTATGGTGATGTGGGGGAGGAGGTGGTCGATGATTTGTATGGCCCGGTTCCGAGTGATGACGTTATTGGCGGGCATGGGGCCGGGCAGGAGGGGGTAGTGGAGGAGGCAGGGGATGAAGACGAGGACCTGTATGGTTCAAGAGACGAGGAGGAGGAAGATGAGGAGGGAGAGGAGCGGGAGGAGGAAGCCGAGGAGAGAGGACACTCGATTTCGAATGCTGCAGGAGGCTTCCCAGCGGGAGGTTTTGAAAGGGGAGGTCACGGGTACAAGGGAAGCACAGCAGGGTTGTTAAGAGACAAGCAGAAGCGCCGTGCCTCTGTTGCAGGCTCCTTTGCTGCTGCTGCTGCCGTCGCGGTTGCCGCTGCTGGTGCAGGTGCTGGTGCTGCTGCCAGCGTGGGTGCCGCTGCTGCCGCTGCTGCTGCTGCTGCATGTAGCACCGAAGGGTCTCTGTCTAGGGCGCAGAGCCAACCGCCCGAGGCTTTCCATGCAGCCATGCTCTCCCCCTCCAACTCCATCGCCTCTGCTCCCTGCTCCTCCCCACCCTCCTCTGTCTCACGGTTCAAGCCCAAGGCAACCAAGAGCCGTGCCAGCAGGGGACAGAGTTCACTGGGGGATTGCCTGGGGCCAGGGTCTAGGGTTAGCAGCGGGATGAGGGAAAGCATGAGCACAGGCTTTAAGGATAGTGCGAGCATGGGCTTTAGTGGCGGTGCGGGCACAGGCTTTAAGGACAGTATGAGTGCGGGGTACGCCGAAGGTGGCAGTTCCGGCTGTTATGACAGCATGAGCTCGGGCTTTAAGGACAGCATGAGCATGGGTTTTACTGACAGTATGAGCACTGGGTACAGTGAAAGCGCGGGCCTTAAGGACAGCATGAGCGTGGGGTATAACGAGCAGGCAGAAAGATGGCACGGGGCGGCTGCGGGCGGGGAGGTTATTTACCCTGGAAAAGCAGGAAGCAGGAGTACCAGGCGCAGTGCAAGTGGGAGGAACATAAGCTCCTTTGTTGCTTCGCCTGCAGCGGTGGGGGTGGGGAGTGCTGGATCCAGCCGGATCGTAAGCGATAGTGTCGGGATGCGGGATGCCGGCTCTGGAGCTGGGATTGGTGGGAAACGTGGTGGTAAGAAAAAGGTAGTTCAGTATGAGGAGGTGGAGGAGGATTTGTTTCCTGTGGAGCCGGAGGACAACGGTAGTGATAACAGTTATGTTTATGATGAGTATGCTGGTCATGGTACCAGTACGAGTGGGGATAGTGGTGGTCCCTATGTCGGTTTTCGGTAATCGGGGCGCATGTGTGTCATCCGACAAGGGTGCTAAGTTATGGCCAATTATTAGTTCACTGGCATAAATTTCGTCAAAGATCTTACTCAACGGTGCCACCGTTGAGAAATAAGGGCATTGCCTTTTGCTTGTGGCAACCAACAAACATGGAACGTAAGGCGCTTTGTCAATAATAATTATGCGATTTACTCCAGCCTACTTCGACAAAAGGTGTTAGAATGCTTGTGACATTTGTGTGGAAGGAACTTCCCTTTTTATGGTTCTTAGTGAGGACTCGCCCACGCTATAAAAACGAAAGCATTTCTGCTCTGATTGCGCTGCATTGTGTTGTGTCTGACGTGACGTATGCTGGATCTGTCGTGTCAGGGGCCTATCCACCTTGGCGCTTGTGTGGTCCGCAGGGGATTGCGAGCGTACGATAGGCGCAGAAAGCACTTCGTCCAGCGCAGCGAAAGAGCCATGTGACTAGGGGGAAAATCTCTTGGTGCAGGGACCACCACACATCATCCCTGGAAATTCCTTCGTAGGAAACTCGGGGCCCCCCTTCATCCCATTCGCGTGGAAATCACGCACTTGCCTCTTGACGTGGCATATTTGAGTCCCCCCTAAAAAATCCGTAACGACAAGCTCCTCACACGCAGATGCAATTGGTGTTACAACTGTACACAAAGAAAAGCTTTAGACTTCCACCCAATATAACACCGTATTTGTCCTACTTTTCAGCTTGATTCGGACGGTCAGAATGCAGCGCCCATTTTACGGAATTGCGGGAAATGAGCGGCTGGCGGCCAGTGCTCTTTGGGCGGTCCAAGAATCTGCCTTTTTGCGGACGGAGCATTTCGGGTCCTCGGGCACATGCGATGAACATTTGCGGTTGAAAGGCTGGCAGCGCATTCATTTAGGCTCGGCTCTTCGAGGTGGCCCGACCAAGTTCCTGGTACTCCTTGCTTCACGGAACTCCCTATGGCTCTTTTCCAATGATACTTAACTCAACCGGACAGAACCGATTCGTACCAGAAGAATCATCTTTATCCTTGCTGAAATCTCCCGTCTGCTCCACACATCCGAAATTGTCGGAACTGTTGATCACCTTCGCAAGCTCTGCTTGCTCGTTGAGTTCAGTTCAGTCTCATGTATATGAGACTTTCAGTGCAAGTAGATGCTCGTTTCCCTACGTGTGTGTGCTTTTGATCAGCGACTGACGAGCCTGAGTGAAGTGAACTGCACTGGAGTTTCTCGTCTGGCAAGCTCCCGTCTCTACCAGCGATAAGGGAACGCAGTTACAGTTGGCTAGCATGAGTTGGATGCAAAACCAGCATCATCAGTTAGGGACATGTCGTAGCGTTTAGTAGCAGTTCTCGAAGATGAACTAGCAATTTTTCGAGTTTCCGGTTGTAGAGAATTCGTTCCTCCAAGTTGGTGTGTCGGTGATTTTTCAGTGCAATCTTCCTTCAAGTGTTTGGAGGCGGCCTTGACAACAGATTGATTCTTGAGTCGACTCAAAAGTCCCTCCAGTGTTTGGAGACGGCCTTGACAACAGATTGGTAACATCAGAGGCGTCGTGATGACGACAGCTGCAGCCAAGTCACCTGTTAGAAAGCTGTCGCACACGCTGTGCTCCAGTGTTCTAGCCGATGTGCGTTCTTGACCCTCCTCTTCTAGCCGATTCAAACAATATTCGTACTGTCATGTCTTCACAACGTTGCCTCGTATTCGTCTTCACATTTTCATTCTCGTTATGTTTCGTTGTACTTTTTTCTCGTTTGTGTTTTTTTATGGAAATTCCTACTATTCCTGTATATGATGCTTGCAGATACACAAATGCGCGTCGAAAAAGCAAACAGGAGTCAGCCTTAAATACATGATGGCGCACGGCTCGTATCCCACGGAGCGGAATCTCATCACAGCGGCGCAGTTCCTGCACCACGAGCTCCCCGTGAGACTCGCTCATCGCGTCACGGAACTCGAAAATCTCCCATACGGCTTGTCGGATAAAGCTCCCATTCTGAAGGTAAGGGGTTCCGCAAAGCGTGCTGGACGTGTTGGAGGAAGTGTCGAGACGACTCGTAAACGCGTGTACCTCTCCGTTTTCCGTCATGGACACGTTCAAGGACATCCACCAGTTCCGTTTCTCACCTCCCGGCCTTCTTTCTCCTCATGCCTTGCTCGTTCGCCTCGTGCTCCGTGGCCCTATTCCCTTGTCCATTCCCGTCCTGTCAGGTGCGAGACTGGTACGTGGACTCGTTCAAGGACATCCACCAGTTCCCGCCCATTGAGAACGCCAGGGAAGAGATGCGCTTCACAGAGCTGCTAGACCAGGTGAGCATCGCAAGCTGCTAGATCAGTCGAGCAAGGGAAGCTGATAGTCCAGTCGATTAAGAAAGCTATTGAGGCGCCTCAAAAGTCGCCAGGGAAGGGATGCGCTTCACAGAGCTGCTAGACCAGGTCAGCAAGAGCTGGAATCGAGTGCTTTGCAAGCCGTCTTAAGAATCGGATTAGAGTATTGGTGCAGGGAAGGCAGCGACAGACAGTGAGCGAGCTTCTGTAGTGCAGGAGGATACAAGGAGTGGCTAGAATGATCAAGCAGGCGAGCAGGAGGTGTTAGCACAAAGCGTGGGATAGCATAGACTGGTGGAGCAGAAGAACCATGGCGCCGCTTCCAGTGTCTTACTAGACTGGACTGGACACGCTTGTTCGTTTAGTATGGACGGGGAAATTCCTGACTTGCGTTTCTTACTGCCATTCATTTGCATAATTTGCATCGACCTGGTTGACTTGAGCTGACTTGGCCTTGCGTTGACCCGGTTGACTGGTGTTGACCAGGTGAGGATGCGGCACAACAATGTGATGCCGACAGTGGCGATGGGGGTGAGCGAGCTCAAGAGGGACATGGTGACGGGCAGCACGAGGCAGGGGCTCGACAGCATGCCCGAAATCCACCAGTTCCTGGTCAGTCTCCTGCTGCTGTTGTTGTTGCTGCTGCTTCTTATTCGCATAGCGTTGCTTGCTGCGAGCTCAAGAGGGACATGGTTGAGGGCAGCACGAGGCAGGGGCTCGACAGCATGCCCGAAATCCACCAGTTCCTGGTCAGTCTCCTGCTGTTGCTGCTGCTGCTGCTGCTGCTGCTGCTTCATATTCGCATAGCGTTGCTTGCTGCGAGCTCAAGAGGGACATGGTTGAGGGCAGCACGAGGTAGGGACTCGACAGCGTGCCCGAGATCCACCAGTTCCTGGTCAGTCGCCCGCTGCCGCTGCTGCAGCTTGCTGTGTCTGGTGTGTTTTGAGTCGACTCAAAACACACTTCTTGAGTCGACTCAAAATGACCGGGAGCACGAGGCAGGGGCTCAATAGCATGCCCGAGATCCACCAATTCCTGGTCAGTCTCCTGCTGTTGCCGCTGCAGCTTGCTGCAGCTCGCTGCTGCTTATCCATTGTCTTGTGATGCTTGTTGACGGCTGTTGTGGTTTTTGTTTGCTCCAAACCCGACGCGGTGCTAACGTGCTTGCGCTTTCATTTCATTTCTCCCCACATCTGTGCCGTGTGTGTTCAGGATCGCTTCTACATGTCGCGGATAGGCATCCGTATGCTCATTGGCCAACACGTCGCGCTCCATAAACCGTCGCCACCGCCTCACTATATAGGGTATACCACCTCATTACACAGGGTATTTCCACAGTTTTTGCCGCATTCGAAGCCCCCATTCCCCCCTTCCCCCATGCCCAGTCTGATGTGCACCACACAACGGTATCCCCAGAGTTGGTGGTACGTGTTGTCAACAACGTGTCCTCTCCCTCTCTCTCATTCTCTGTTCTCCCCAAATATTTCGCGTCCCAGCCTGATCTGCACGAAGGTGTCGCCAGTGGAGGTGGCACGGAACGCAGTGGACGATGCGCGGTCAGCATGCATGCGAACGTACGGCTCTGCCCCCGACGTGCACATCTATGGCGACCCCGACCTCAGATTCGCGTATGTTCTTGCACGACACTAATCAACTGTCACTCACTCATGCCCTCACACAACATGCATGCGCACGTACGGCTCTGCCCCCGTCGTGCACATCTATGGCGACCCCGACCTCAGATTCGCGTATGTTCTTGCACAACACTAATCAACTCTCACTCACTCATGCCCTCACACAACATGCATGCGCACGTACGGCTCTGCCCCCGACGTGCACATCTACGGCGACCCCGACCTCAGATTCGCGTACGTTACTCAGCAGTCGGGCATGGCATGCCACTCCCCTGCCACCCATCTCCCTGGCACTCATTCCCCTGCCCCTCATGTCCCTGGCACTCATTCCCCTGCCCCTCATCTCTCTTCTACCCATTTCTCTCTGTCACTCATCTCTCCATCAACCACCCATCACCATCTCCCAATACAGCTATGTGCCGGCCCATCTGCACCAGATGCTGTTTGAGCTCGTGAATAACTCCCTGCGTGCTGTGCAGGAGCGTCTTGAGAGCCATGCCCTCAATACCCCCGTCCCATTCCCCCCCACCCCACCCATCCGCACCCCTTTGCACCGCACTCCACTGCAGCTACGTGCCGGCCCATCTGCACCAGATGCTGTTTGAGCTCGTGAAGAACTCGCTGCGTGCCGTGCAGGAACGGTTTGCTGATGCCGACCATGACCCGCCGCCCATCCGCCTCATTGTGGCTGACGGCATGGAGGATGTAACCATTAAGGTGCGTGGAGGATGGGAGGATTGAGGTGTGCAGAGGGTTTGCAGCATGAAGGTGCTTATTTAGTGTATAATGGTACATCATACGATGCCGACCATGACCCGCCACTCATCCGCCTCATTGTGGCCGATGGCATGGAGGATGTCACCATCAAGGTGCGTACCTTGAGTATGATTCGTTTGAGCATGTTCATTGAGTCGTGTGATTGGACATCTTTTGGTTCAGACTGTGTTTCACCACGTTGCATCGTATCGTAACCCCTCCACCTCCCTCCCCACCTCGTTTTCTTGTGCTTGCAGATTTCGGACGAAGGTGGGGGCATTCCGCGCAGTGGGCTCCCCAAGATCTGGACGTACCTCTACACCACGGCCCACTCGCCCATCGCTGCTGCCAACCAGCTACACGAGATGCCCACTGTCATGTACGTCACCCCTTGCCACCCCTTTCCAACCCTTTCCACCCCTTGTCACCCCTTGTCACCCCTTGCCACCCCTCACCACCACTCGCCACCCCTCACCACCCCTTGCCACCGCTTGCCGCCACCGCTTGCGACTCTTGCCTGCATCCACTTCAACTCATTGCGGTTGCCCCCTCTTGCGCCCCGTGTATTGTACCCATCGTAATATGTGTGGAGCAGGGCGGGGTACGGCTATGGGCTGCCCATCAGTCGGCTGTATGCACGATACTTTGGGGGCGACCTGCAGGTGGTGTCCATGGAGGGCTATGGCACTGACGTCTACCTGCACCTCAACCGCCTTAGAAACGTGCAGGAGCCTCTGCCTTAGTCGCGCCACCGCCCCACCGCCCCGCCGCTCCACCGCTGCCACTGCCCTAGTGCTGCCACTGCCTTAGTGGTGCTTTAGTATTGATTTTCCAACCTGTGGCATTCCCTGCCACTTAGTACCACGTGACTTCCCAGTGCCACCCATGTATAACGTCATCCCCGCTCACACGTACCACCATCGCCGCTCACATTCCACCATCGCCGTCCACTTTTCGCCATTGCCGCCCACAGCCTACACCACGACCTGTGTCCGCCCTCTTTCAGCGCAGCAGCATTGCCAGCATCCTCCCAAACTCCACCCTCCATTGGAGCAGCCAATGTTGATAATGAATAAGGCTGCACGAATAGCGCCAACTCCCACTCTCCCAGCCCATGGTCTCTCATATATTAGGCGTCCATGGTTCCTCCTGAATTGCCCACTCTCCCCTCCGTTCTTACCTCTGCGCAAGCTTCATAGTGGACTCTATATGACTAGTGTTTGATATATGAGAGGCTACGGTATTATCCATTCAATTTTGTACCATTGTCTGGCTAGCTAGCTGCACATGTATCCTCACACTGCACTGCAGCTAGGTATTGTGCATCCGCGTTATAGGCGTTCATTGGCTCATGCCACAACATGCTTGCTCATTTGTTGACCAAGTCGCGTGTCACAATCAAACAAGTGCGTATAATTTCTTTCAGACGGGACAGGCCTTGGTGCAGTAATCAACCAAGCACGCAAGCAGGACAGTCAACCACCACACAACTCAGCATGTTTGTGTATGTGAGTCCTGTCTAGTGCTGCTCTGCTGGCTTGAACAGCCTAGAAGCCACTGTCAGCAACTGGGCTTCATCAATCGGAGTAGTCAACAGCCCATCCATGCCCACCTCGCGCCAGCGCGCCACCATCTCAGGGTCCACGTCCGACACCAGCGATGAGGGTGGACACTGCACAGGCTTTAGTGCTGCTCTGCTGGTTTGAACAGCCTGGAAGCAACCGTCAGCAACTGGGCTTCGTCAATGGGGGTGGTCAACAGCCCATCCATGCCCACTTCCCGCCACCGCGCCACCATCTCAGGGTGCATGTCCGACACCAACCCCAGGATCGGCACGCGGATTCTCTGCGCTGACGTGGCGCCCCACCGTTGGACCTCTGCTTTGTTGTGCTCCGCCTCTCGGCGCCGCACCTCCTCTGTGAACTCAAAGCTGTGGGGGAACGGGGGGAAGAGCGGGGAGTTGGTGTTGGGGAGGGTCCATGAATTCGGGTCAAATCCCACCGTTGGACCTCTGCTTTGCTGTGCTCGGCCTCTCGGCGCCGCATCTCCTCCGTGAACTCAAAGCTGTGGTGGGTGAGGGAGGGAAGGGTTGATTTGAGTGGAGGTGAAGAAGAAGAGATGTGAGTGAGAGTGTTATGCTTGTCAGGTGGACTTCCGCCTTGTTGTGCTCCGCCTCTCAGCGCCGCACCTCCTCCGTGAACTCAAAGCTCGGGAAGGGGGTTGGAGTAGGCGGGGAAGGTTTGGAAAGGGCGGCGGTTGGGATGTGGGGGTGAGAGGAGAGACGCGCATGGTAAGACAGGTGGGGCTCCGCCTTCTTGTGCTCTGCCTCTCAGCGCCGCACCTCCTCCGTGAATTCAAAGCTGGAAGGGGGAGATGGGGTGGGAGGGGGGTGGGTGGGTGGGAGTGTTGGGGAGGGTTGAGGGATGCGGAGGTGAAAGAGAGATGTGAGTGTGTGAATGGACTTGTGTGTGCATGTGTTGGTTGAATTTGTTCTGCTCTGCCTCTCAATGAAGTGGACGGCACACTCCACCCCACCCGACCGCACTCCACTCCACTCCACTCCACTCCACGCCAAACCCAACCCCAACCACCCCACCAGTCAGTAGCACTTACCCTAACATGTCAGCGAGTCGGATGTTAACGAGGACAAGCTGGAAGGAGTGCGGTAACGATGGGTGTGCATGAGTGCACTTGCAGCATCCACCACAGCTCCCCTCGTCCTAGCACCCCAACCCAGCACCCCACCCCTTACCCTGGCATGTCAGCGAGTCGGATATTAACGAGGATGAGCTGGAAGGAGTGCGGTAACAATGGGTGTGCAGGTGTGCACTTGCAGCCTCGCCCAACCCCTACCCCTCCCCCTCTTCCTAGCACCCCAACCCTTACCCCGGCATGTCAGCGAGTCGGATATTAACGAGGATGAGCTGGAAGGAGTGCGGCAGAGGAGCGAGTCGCGAGAGGGCCTCTGCTGCGCTGTCAACGGCCACGACCACGTCAGCAAAGTGTGAAACCAGCTCAGCAGCCGCCTTGCGCGTGATGTAGTGGTGGTCTACCACCAGCACCCGCTTGCCCTTGAGGCACAGCCGCAGCAGCAGCTGCCTTCGCCTGGTAGCCAACGCTGTTGTCTCCCGCGGGTTCAGCCCGAGCGCCTTTGGGTTTGGGAGAAAAACAGAGGGCAGGAGAGAGCGAGGAGGTGGGTGGGAGAGGTGGAGGAAGAGAGGGAATGCAGGAACAGCAGGAAGGGCAAGGGGAGAGAGGAAGGGCGGGCAGAAGAGGGATGAGTGAAATGATGGGAGTGATGTAGTGGTGGTCGACCACCAGCACTCGCTTGCCCTTGAGGCACAGCCGCAGCAGCAGCTGCCTTCGCCTGGTGGCCAACGCTGTTGTCTCCCTGGGATTCAGCCCGAGCGCCTTTGGGGGAGATTGAAAGAGGAGACGGTAGGAGAGAGGAGGGAGAGGGTAGGCAAGAGGAGAAAGGTGGCGGATGCGGGGTAGGTGGGAGACAGGAAATGCAGGAGAGCTGTGGCCATGCGCCATGTGCCAGATATACCTGCACCAGGCTTACCTGCAGGAGAGCTGTGGCCATGGTGGCAGCCCTGAGAGGCTTGAGCATGATGCATGAAAATCCGTGCCTCGCTGCCTCTGCCTCCAGATCGTCATTTGTGGTCTGGTTCAGTGCGGTGCAGAGTGGTGCGCAGGATGGGGAAGAGGAGAGAGGAGGACGATAGGTACATGGGTATGAGAATGAATGAGTGCCTCGCTGCCTCTGCTTCCAGATCATACATGGATATGAGGGTCAATGGATTATGAAGTTCACGGTTAAGTGAGGAATAGGTAACTTTAACTATTCCCCACCACATTCATGGGACAATATGCAGCACCTGTGACAGCAGCAGCAGCTTCGGCACAATGGGGGTGGCCTCCCAAGTTTTGAAGTGTTTGCAACCCCCATCCCGCCCCGCTTTCCCCTTCCCCCCTCCCCCCTCCCTCCCCCTCCCTGACCTGGGTCAAAAGCAGCAGCTTCGGCACAATAGGGGTGGCTTCCCACGCCTCTCTCAGTTCCTTCAGCTGCTGCACCATGCGCCCTAGCTCTATCCCCGTCCCCGTCCCCGGCCCGTCCCAATCTCGATTGAACCCATTTGAAAGAACACCTCTCAGCCTCCCTCCTCCCCTTTCTAACTCTTCACCTGAGTGAGAAGGAGCAGTTTAGGCACGATAGGGGTGGCCTCCCACGCCTCCCTCAGCTCCTTCAGCTGCTGCACCATGCGCCCCAGCTCTATCCCCGTGCCTGGCCCGTCCGCATCTGCATCCACCACCACCATATCCCACCGGCTCTTTCTGTTCACTAAACCCTGGCCTGCATGTGTAACAAGGGGGATGAAAAAACCAGGGAAAAGGGTGAGGGGTGCCTTGGCTCGGCCCGTCCGCCTCTGCATCCACCACCACCATATCCCACCAGCTCTTTCGATTCACCAGGCCCTGGAATGTGTGTGTGGATGGGGAATCCGTGTGTAGGGGTGAAAGGAGGGTTGGGAAAGGGTGGGTGAGTGTCTTCTAATTGGCCCGGCCCGTCCGCATCTGCATCCACCACCACCATATCCCACCGGCTCTTGCTGTTCACTAAACCGTGGCCTGTGAGGGGCGAGTGTGTGGGTGTGGGAGTGTATGTGAGGCAAATGGAGGGTGGGGAGGGGTGAGTGAGGAGAGGAGTGCCTTGGCTTGCCCCGTCCGCATCTGCATCCACCACCACCATATATCCCATCGGCTCTTTCTGTTCACCAGGCCTTGATCTGCGAGTGAAACAAGGGGAATGGATGGAGGGAGCATGGGAAGGGGAGTGAGTGTCTGTAATTTGCCCCGTCCGCATCTGCATCCACCACCCCGCTTGCGGCTCGTTACCTATCACCCTGTAGGCTATGTCTACCATCAGCCAATCACCCACCTGGGAGGTGCCTGGAGTGCCTGAGCGTGAGCGCAGCAGCAGGCACGCTGTCAGAGAGGTCAACGCGGAGACCCATGCGAGTCAGGTACGTGGCAGTCACCTGCTGCCTTACTACCTGTCACCTGCCGTGTCGAAATGCTGCTCATCCTAACAACCAACCACCCACCAATTACTTACCAGGCAAGTGCCTGGAGTGCCGCAGCGCCAGGGCAGCAGCAGGGACGCTGTCAGAAAGGTCAACGCGGAGCCCCATGCGGGCCAGGTACGTGGCAGTCACCTGCTGCCTCACCGGCCACTTTCAACCACTACCAGTCAGTCACCTACCTGGCAGATGTCGGGAGTGCCTGAGCGCCAGCGCAGCAGCAGGGACGCTGTCTGAGAGGTCAACGCGGAGGCCCATGCGAGCAAGGTACGTGGCAGTCACCTGCTGCCTCACAGGCCGCCCATCCACCACCAGACACCTCATGCCCTCAGCTGCTCGGCCCCCCTATTGCCCCGTACCTTATCAACCACTAATAGTCAGTCACCCACCTGGGAGGTGTCGGGAGTGCCTCAGAGCCAAAGCAGCAGCAGGGACGCTGTCTGAAAGATCAACTCGGAGCCCCATGCGAGCCAGGTAGGTCGCAGTCACCTGCTGCCTCACAGGCCGCCCATCCACCACCAGACACCGCATGCCCCTCAGCTTCGCCCTCAGCCCCGCACACTCCGCGTGCTGATCGTCCCCTATCGCCCCGTACCCTATGTGGAACACCCGCGGCACCGCCCCCCCTGCCGCTACCGCCGCTGCTCCTCCCCCTCCTCCTCCTCCTCCTGCTCCGACGCCCCCGGCTGAGCCGCCGCTGCTGGCGCTGCTGGTGCTGGGGGAGGGGGCACCTGGGGGGGGCTGGTCCAGGAGCACGTCAAAGGTGACGGTGGTGCCGGTGTTGACGCGCGTGGATAGCGACATTTGTCCTGACATGGAGTTGACGAGCCTGAGGGGGTAGAGGTGGAAGGGGGAAGGAAGGAGGAGAGGGAAAGGGGAGATGAGGGGAGGGGGGAAAGCCTGACTCGGTTCAAGCATCTGAAAGTAGGTGCGCTGGTGTGTTTTGAGACGTCTCAAAACAAATCTTCATACACGTGTTTTGAGACGTCTCAAATCAAATCTTCTTCATACACGTGTTTTGAGACGTCTCAAATCAAAAGAAAGCCTGACTCGGTTCAAGCATCTGAAAGTAGGTGCACTGGTGTGTGTGTCTACGGTTTTCACGATAGACAAGAAGACAAGACAAGACATGTGGGTTACCCACCTCTCAGCGAAGCACAGCAGCAGCGGCACACCCGCATACTTCTGCTGCAGCTTCATCTGAACCGCCTCGAACGGCCGCTCCCTCGCTGCCAGCATTTCCTCTGGCAGCCCCGTCCCCGTGTCCTCAAAATAAAACACCAGCGGCAGCAGGGGCTGCAGCAGCAGGGGCAGCATCACACCAGCATAGATAACCGCTCACCTCTCAGCAAAGCACAGCAGCAGCGGCACGCCGGCATACTTCTGCTGCAGCTTCATCTGAACCGCCTCAAACGGCCGCTCCCTCGCTGCCAGCACTTCCTCTGGCAGCCCCGCCCCCGTGTCCTCCAAACAACACACCAGCCTGACCCCCCTCCTTCGCCGTCACTCACTCACCTCTCAGACGCACAGCAGCAGCGGCAGAAGCGGCAGCAGGGGCTGCAGCAGCAGGGGCTGCAGCAGCAGGGGCAGCAGCACACCAGCATAGATAACCCACTCACCTCTCAGCAAAGCACAGCAGCAGCGGCACGCCGGCATACTTCTGCTGCAGCTTCATCTGAACCGCCTCAAACGGCCGCTCCCTCGCTGCCAGCACCTCCCCCGGAAGACCCGCCCCCGTGTCCTCCAAACAAAACACCAGCCTGATCCCCCTCCTCCGCCTCTCTGCTCCCCCTGTCCTTGCCCCTGTTCCAGATGCACCCCCAGCAGCAGCAGCAGCGGCGCCAGGAGCAGCATTTGCCGCTGTAGCAACAGCAGTAGTACCACCGCCGCCGACACCGCCACTGCCAGAAGCAGCGACAGCCGCAGGAGCAGCAGCAGCAGCAGTAGCAGCAGCAGCAGTACCAGCAGCAGCACCGCCAGCGGGTGTCTTTCGGAGGCGGTTCTCCTGCTGCTTCAGCATCTCACAGACGGCGGGCCAGCTGTTACTGCCGTCCACTGCTGGTAACCCGCTCAGAGTCAGGTGCTCGCCCTTCATGAGGGATGTTTTCCCCCGTGCTGCCCTCTCTCTCTCCTCCTCCCCTCCATCCCCTTCCCCCTGCGCCTCCCCCTGCTGCTGCGGGTCTCTGCCTTTGCCCTTTTCGCCTGCTGCTCCTGCTGCTGCTCCTGACCCTGCTGCTGCGCCTGCTGGTTTGTGGGGAGAGTCGAAGGCGACGCGCACGCAGAGGAAGATGTGGCCCCGATCGGTAAGGCGAACAGCGACAGTGAAGAGGTTCAGAAGAATCTGCAAAGGGGAGTGGGGGGTTATGGGGTTATGGAGGGGCAATGAACACGCAGAGGAAGATGTGGCCTCTGTCGGCGAGGCGGACAGCGACAGTGAAGAGGTTCAGAAGAATCTGCACGGGTAGTGGGGAAGGAGGGAGGGGGTGGAGACTCAGGGAGAGGGGTTAGGGAGGGTCGAAGGCGATGCGCGCGCAGAGGAAGATATGGCCTCGACCAGTGAGGCGCACAGCAACAGCAAACAGGTTCAGAAGAATCTGAATGTCAAGGGGAGGAAAGCGAGGAGGAAGGAGGGGCAATGAGCGCGCAGAGGAAGATATGGCCGATCAGTGAGGCGCACAGCAACAGTAAACAGGTTCAGAAGAATCTGCGTGTCAAGGGGAGGAAAGCGAGGAGGAAGGAGGGGCAATGAGCGCGCAGAGGAAGATATGGCCTCGACCAGTGAGGCGCACAGCAACAGTAAACAGGTTCAGAAGAATCTGCGTGTCAAGGGGAGGAAAGCGAGGAGGAAGGAGGGGCAATGAGCGCGCAGAGGAAGATATGGCCTCGACCAGTGAGGCGCACAGCAACAGTAAACAGGTTCAGAAGAATCTGCGTGTCAAGGGGAGGAAAGCGAGGAGGAAGGAGGGGCAATGAGCGCGCAGAGGAAGATATGGCCTCGACCAGTGAGGCGCACAGCAACAGTAAACAGGTTCAGAAGACTCTGTGTGTCAAGGGGAGGAAAGCGAGGAGGAAGGAGGGGCAATGAGCGCGCAGAGGAAGATATGGCCTCGACCAGTGAGGCGCACAGCAACAGTAAACAGGTTCAGAAGAATCTGCGTGTCAAGGGGAGGAAAGCGAGGAGGAAGGAGGGGCAATGAGCGCGCAGAGGAAGATATGGCCTCGACCAGTGAGGCGCACAGCAACAGTAAACAGGTTCAGAAGAATCTGCGTGTCAAGGGGAGGAAAGCGAGGAGGAAGGAGGGGCAATGAGCGCGCAGAGGAAGATATGGCCTCGACCAGTGAGGCGCACAGCAACAGTAAACAGGTTCAGAAGAATCTGCGTGTCAAGGGGAGGAAAGCGAGGAGGAAGGAGGGGCAATGAGCGCGCAGAGGAAGATATGGCCTCGACCAGTGAGGCGCACAGCAACAGTAAACAGGTTCAGAAGAATCTGCGTGTCAAGGGGAGGAAAGCGAGGAGGAAGGAGGGGCAATGAGCGCGCAGAGGAAGATATGGCCTCGACCAGTGAGGCGCACAGCAACAGTAAACAGGTTCAGAAGAATCTGCGTGTCAAGGGGAGGAAAGCGAGGAGGAAGGAGGGGCAATGAGCGCGCAGAGGAAGATATGGCCTCGACCAGTGAGGCGCACAGCAACAGTAAACAGGTTCAGAAGAATCTGCGTGTCAAGGGGAGGAAAGCGAGGAGGAAGGAGGGGCAATGAGCGCGCAGAGGAAGATATGGCCTCGACCAGTGAGGCGCACAGCAACAGTAAACAGGTTCAGAAGAATCTGCGTGTCAAGGGGAGGAAAGCGAGGAGGAAGGAGGGGCAATGAGCGCGCAGAGGAAGATATGGCCTCGACCAGTGAGGCGCACAGCAACAGTAAACAGGTTCAGAAGAATCTGCGTGTCAAGGGGAGGAAAGCGAGGAGGAAGGAGGGGCAATGAGCGCGCAGAGGAAGATATGGCCTCGACCAGTGAGGCGCACAGCAACAGTAAACAGGTTCAGAAGAATCTGCGTGTCAAGGGGAGGAAAGCGAGGAGGAAGGAGGGGCAATGAGCGCGCAGAGGAAGATATGGCCTCGACCAGTGAGGCGCACAGCAACAGTAAACAGGTTCAGAAGAATCTGCGTGTCAAGGGGAGGAAAGCGAGGAGGAAGGAGGGGCAATGAGCGCGCAGAGGAAGATATGGCCTCGACCAGTGAGGCGCACAGCAACAGTAAACAGGTTCAGAAGAATCTGCGTGTCAAGGGGAGGAAAGCGAGGAGGAAGGAGGGGCAATGAGCGCGCAGAGGAAGATATGGCCTCGACCAGTGAGGCGCACAGCAACAGTAAACAGGTTCAGAAGAATCTGCGTGTCAAGGGGAGGAAAGCGAGGAGGAAGGAGGGGCAATGAGCGCGCAGAGGAAGATATGGCCTCGACCAGTGAGGCGCACAGCAACAGTAAACAGGTTCAGAAGAATCTGCGTGTCAAGGGGAGGAAAGCGAGGAGGAAGGAGGGGCAATGAGCGCGCAGAGGAAGATATGGCCTCGACCAGTGAGGCGCACAGCAACAGTAAACAGGTTCAGAAGAATCTGCGTGTCAAGGGGAGGAAAGCGAGGAGGAAGGAGGGGCAATGAGCGCGCAGAGGAAGATATGGCCTCGACCAGTGAGGCGCACAGCAACAGTAAACAGGTTCAGAAGAATCTGCGTGTCAAGGGGAGGAAAGCGAGGAGGAAGGAGGGGCAATGAGCGCGCAGAGGAAGATATGGCCTCGACCAGTGAGGCGCACAGCAACAGTAAACAGGTTCAGAAGAATCTGCGTGTCAAGGGGAGGAAAGCGAGGAGGAAGGAGGGGCAATGAGCGCGCAGAGGAAGATATGGCCTCGACCAGTGAGGCGCACAGCAACAGTAAACAGGTTCAGAAGAATCTGCGTGTCAAGGGGAGGAAAGCGAGGAGGAAGGAGGGGCAATGAGCGCGCAGAGGAAGATATGGCCTCGACCAGTGAGGCGCACAGCAACAGTAAACAGGTTCAGAAGAATCTGCGTGTCAAGGGGAGGAAAGCGAGGAGGAAGGAGGGGCAATGAGCGCGCAGAGGAAGATATGGCCTCGACCAGTGAGGCGCACAGCAACAGTAAACAGGTTCAGAAGAATCTGCGTGTCAAGGGGAGGAAAGCGAGGAGGAAGGAGGGGCAATGAGCGCGCAGAGGAAGATATGGCCTCGACCAGTGAGGCGCACAGCAACAGTAAACAGGTTCAGAAGAATCTGCGTGTCAAGGGGAGGAAAGCGAGGAGGAAGGAGGGGCAATGAGCGCGCAGAGGAAGATATGGCCTCGACCAGTGAGGCGCACAGCAACAGTAAACAGGTTCAGAAGAATCTGCGTGTCAAGGGGAGGAAAGCGAGGAGGAAGGAGGGGCAATGAGCGCGCAGAGGAAGATATGGCCTCGACCAGTGAGGCGCACAGCAACAGTAAACAGGTTCAGAAGAATCTGCGTGTCAAGGGGAGGAAAGCGAGGAGGAAGGAGGGGCAATGAGCGCGCAGAGGAAGATATGGCCTCGACCAGTGAGGCGCACAGCAACAGTAAACAGGTTCAGAAGAATCTGCGTGTCAAGGGGAGGAAAGCGAGGAGGAAGGAGGGGCAATGAGCGCGCAGAGGAAGATATGGCCTCGACCAGTGAGGCGCACAGCAACAGTAAACAGGTTCAGAAGAATCTGCGTGTCAAGGGGAGGAAAGCGAGGAGGAAGGAGGGGCAATGAGCGCGCAGAGGAAGATATGGCCTCGACCAGTGAGGCGCACAGCAACAGTAAACAGGTTCAGAAGAATCTGCGTGTCAAGGGGAGGAAAGCGAGGAGGAAGGAGGGGCAATGAGCGCGCAGAGGAAGATATGGCCTCGACCAGTGAGGCGCACAGCAACAGTAAACAGGTTCAGAAGAATCTGCGTGTCAAGGGGAGGAAAGCGAGGAGGAAGGAGGGGCAATGAGCGCGCAGAGGAAGATATGGCCTCGACCAGTGAGGCGCACAGCAACAGTAAACAGGTTCAGAAGAATCTGCGTGTCAAGGGGAGGAAAGCGAGGAGGAAGGAGGGGCAATGAGCGCGCAGAGGAAGATATGGCCTCGACCAGTGAGGCGCACAGCAACAGTAAACAGGTTCAGAAGAATCTGCGTGTCAAGGGGAGGAAAGCGAGGAGGAAGGAGGGGCAATGAGCGCGCAGAGGAAGATATGGCCTCGACCAGTGAGGCGCACAGCAACAGTAAACAGGTTCAGAAGAATCTGCGTGTCAAGGGGAGGAAAGCGAGGAGGAAGGAGGGGCAATGAGCGCGCAGAGGAAGATATGGCCTCGACCAGTGAGGCGCACAGCAAC